CGACCCACGAATCTCTTCTTCATTCACTTCCATGCAAACTGAATGTCCACCTAATAATATTTTCTCAAAAGAGTCATCAAACTCAGTTCCTCTTTATGTCCACCATTCCTATGATTTTCTTCCCAATTTATTTTGAGCATTAAATTTGATTCTAATTCTATTTTATGAATGAATAGCTGAACAGCATTTTAGATGAAAACCTAAAAGGTAACGAACGATATCTTAAATCATTCTTAAGTAACTACATGATAATGCCTACTTTTCTTACTAGTTGTAGTAGCCTGCACCTGTCCTTCGGTTTATTTCTCAGATGTCCTAGAACTTGGTTTCTATCGTAGTTATCCGTCATATGCTGCTTCGCTGTTATATAATCCAGATAAATCGGCTTTTTTACTATCATAGCATCAATAGGTTTCCTTATATTTTTCGTGCGTGTTGTCTTTCCTTGAGCTTGTGGATAGAAAGCCTAACTGCCTCTAAGAGTCTTTTTAGTTATTTTAACCGGTTTGTGGAGGCTTCAAGATAAAAATTAGAAGGTAATACTATAAAGGTTTGAAGCTATATTTGCTTTTACTCACTTCATTTCAGTACACACAGGAATAAATCAGCACGACCCAGCAACTGTTTTACTGTAACCATTTAAGTCAGGGGGAAATTTAAAAGCATTTGAGTTGCATTCATTATTAGGTCTGATTACATGCATTTCCTCTAATTTCTACTAACTTCATTGTTTCTTCCCGTTAACAAACTTTAAAAATATTTGGGACGAAGTTACACTTGCGCTCATTCTTTAAATCAGAGCACGCATACAGCAAGAAGATTTGCCTTAAACACCACCTAATGTGGTCATCTAAGCGCTGTCCACAGTTATCCTTATATTGCCGCCTAAACAAACGTCAAATTGTCTGCAATCATAAGTCGACTGATACGAGAATAATATCATTAGTAATTACCATTAATGCCTAATTAGCATCTTTTCTCGTCAATCAAACTAGTTACTTCTAGTGACCCTACTCCACAATCAGTTTGGCTACATTTCATCGTAAGTCTCTCGACTCATGCAACACCAAGTTGAGCAAGACTCACTGGCACTGTGCCATGGGAACCAGGCAAATCTAGTCATCACATCGAGCCTCTTCATCGAACCAATCAGAACGTGGCACTAAAGCGTATTTTAAACTTGAAGCTAGCTCGAATAAGGACAATGCCCCATTGTTCCCCTTGCGCCATCATTACCCTTTCTGATTAAACGCTGCCCTCTTGTGCCAACACCACACTCCTGCATCGTCTGAGTTTTTTCTCCTCGACTGTAACTTTCTTTCTTATATATAAGACACTGACTCGTTTTCTTGTTCCTATATACAAAGCTGGGGGTATTCTATATCGCACAAAGCCGAGCACATGTTTATAGTGAATATTGTTCTGATTCACTAAATAATCATATTTCAAAGTATCAACTTCTGGCAATAGATCCAGCACCCTCCTGTTCAAAAAATAAATTCCTAGTAGTTGTAGTTATTGAGTCTAACGGCGATTTCGAAGATTTATTATTGCACTTTGGACAGGCCAAGCTCCAATAAAGAAAATATTTTAATCTTTAAATTCTCGTAGCGACCTCATATTCTTCCTTAATTTTTTCATTCTCCTTTTTTCTAGGAATAAGGCCCCCTACCTTGTCGTAACTAGATGTGATTTTTCAGCAATTGCGAGTTTGTTGAACATTAAACTCATTTTTCTATTTAATCACTTCACAGTTTTCTATTTAAAGTCTCCGGGCCAAGTTCTCAACTTTCTCGGCAGCTGGCCTGTGTTATCAATCGGGCTCTTAGCCATCATCCAGCTCCGGATTCTGCTGGGACCGCTAATATCGAGGCAAGAACCAGTATTGCTGTCTTGCTTGACTTGCTTCATCGGTACAAGCAACCGTCTGTCTGCTGCCTGTCTCTCGGAGAGTCCCTTACTTCTGAGAACATCGCGCATCGCCCCTCGCATTCACTCACAAAGGCAACAACTAAAGATGCGTTTTCAGCCTCCCTTGCCTCCGAATTCTCCCGTCTAGCTGATCCTGAAAGTACCGAGAACGTGCCTCGTTTGCCGGGAGATAGTATCGAACTATGGGTTGAATGCTATTCTGACGCTAAAAGTCTGCCTCCGCATCGACAAAAGCGTTGGCACGATTTGATTCAGCTTATTTAGTTTTCCAGTTCATACTACGACAAATATAGTTATGTATTATCTCGTTAACTGAAAAATAAAAATTAAGCTGGCGTTTTAACTCATGATAACATGTATTCATCTATTAACTGAATATATATATATATATATATATAGAGAGAGAGAGAGAGAGTAGGGTCCGAAAGTCTGATTCGGCAACGAAAAAGTCATATTTTTACAAAACGAATATAAATTTTCGTCCAATTGATAATTTCAGACTAGAATTAATAAGATGCATTCAACCTATTTCGCTTAACCTTGTAGTTTAATTTTCCCACAATTGTATAAGTAGACCTGACGCCTCCATTGAATTTCACATAGCTTTGGTTTCCCATAATCGTTATCATCCAGAGTGGACTGCAGTTTCGACCTCGCCTAGGTCTTATCAATACCTCCAGCGGGAGACAGACGATGACAGTGCAGCATCTAAGCTCGACACGTTAGTCACTCTGCCACATTGTCACGGGTGTCCTCGAGTTTCAGGTCAGATATGAATTCCAAGGAAGGACAGGTATTTTCCCATATCACATTCTTTGTTGGGAGTGTCGATGACGCAAAGTTATATTTTGCTATAACAATAAAGTACATTACTTATTTTTCGTTTATAAGCAGTTTCGAGACTGACGAAAAATAAGTAATGTAGTAGATAGTTATAACAAATATAACTGCTTCATCGGCAATCCCATCAAAGCATGTGATTTGGAAAAATGCCTGGCCTACTTTAAAATTCACGTCTGTCCTGTTACCTGAGGACACTCGTCAATGTGGTAAAGTGCTTAACTTGTCGATCTTACACGCTTTACTCTCCCTACGTTTTATCACAGTCTCCCTCTTGCCCCGTAGAATCCGCCTGCTATCTACATGGTTCAAGCATTTCACTCGACCTCTGCCACTCCATCTGTGCTACTCGAGGCGTTATTTCCCACACTCTGCGTCTGAGTGACAAATTTGATGCTAAAGCCTCTGAGTAAGTCTCATCGTCACGCCTTTGCTACGTGGACCACATCTATGGTAAAACACTGTCAGCCAACTAGCTCCAGTCTCAGCCGCGTCTATCCTGTTCCTATTCCTAATACCAAGTCTATGACTTCCCCTACCCTAGTTTCTTGTGTGCCAACCCACAAACGTTGTGGTTCAACATTGAATCTAATCAAAGCAAGCAGTACCACAACATTTGTAGGTTGGCACACAAAGGTAGGGCAAGTCATAGACTTAGTATTAGGAATAGAAACAGGATAGACGCGGCTGAGACTGGCGCTAGTTGGCTGACAGTATGTTTTACCAGAGCCGTAATCCATGTAGCAAAGATGTGACCATGAGACTTATTCAGAGGCTTTAGCCTCAAATTTCTCACTCAGATGCAGAGTGTGGGAAATAACGCCTCGAGTAGCACAGATGGAGTGGCAGAGGTCGAATGAAATGCTTGAACCAGGGTGATAGCAGAGGAATTCTACAGGGCAAGAGGGAGACAGTGATAAGACTGCGTAAGAATACGACAAATTTCCAGCACAAGGATGAAGGGGGTGAGAACGCCAGTGTGGAGTGTAGAGGGTAATCATGAAAGCCGCTTAAAGTCACACCACACTAGATTTAAATAAGCAAGGGAAAAATTGTAACAGTGAAGGTGTAATAGGATGATATAGGAAATATTAATAGCCGTGCGCAGGTGAGATACCACAACTGTTTAGCACACGTTTGGTCAAAGGATCGGCTTCATTTGTCTCTGACGAGTTATTGTGTGATGCTAAGAATGGCGAGATTCACTGATGATGCCGGCGAAACGTCTGCGAATGTACCAAGTCCATAGTCGGACTTTGGAAATGATCATAGATACAATGGACTCTGGACTAGGTGCGCTCCTCTAAGTCTTCCTACTAATGTGACCGAGTTGCGAAAACAAGGTCAAACAACCTCTATACAAAGAAAGGGGACCGTGACTACACAAAAGGCCGCACTATCTTGGTCTTCACATTTTCTATTAAGCTTATTTTGTGTTTATTGATGGCTATAATGTTTAAATCCTTGAGTAAAAATGTATAACCAGGGCGGACGACTGGGGGTAAGCATTAGGAAGATTAAAGGGTGGTATGAAAATAAATGAAGCAAATCCTTAAGTATGCTGAGCCCAAAACTCGCATATTGCATAATAGGCAGTGCAGCAAATACGGACTTGTGTGAACCATGTAATTTGGAAGAATGTTTAACAAATAAAAAAGTGGGCTATGCACCATAGGAAGCGATTGCGCTGTATTAGCGTAAACACAAACACAGTTTAGGAAAAAATATTATTAGTACTAGTATAGTATTGTGCTGGTTCTTTGAAAATTTAGATACTTAAAAGTAGATAAACTCATAAAAGGCTAGGCTTTCATAGATAATCAGGGCTTGGCCATAAAACAAATGATGCTGCTAACAATCCTGGCTTTCAACATAACCATCTCATACGCTTGAAGAGATGATGCATATATCACATGATAGTTAACTTTAGCGACTGGAAGTATTCAGTGCCATTTGGGATGTTTGCAGTAGTTCTTTAAAATATTTAGTAAAAAACATTTTTAAAAATTACAAGTTGAGACCGATTTGAGATCGGATAGAAGAGAATTAGTCAAGATAAAAATTTAAAGTAAAAATAGCTGTACATTGATATAGTAGGCAGCAGAGTGAGCATGTTGTAGGCAATTAGCACCGAATGAGTTTGAGGGGAAAATTAACATGTGATCACTTGAAAGCATTATACGAGGGCAGTTTCTCGGAAAAAAAATTCTTAAGTATAGTGACTTGCCCAAAGCCTGTTAAAATAATTGTTACAAATACTATCACACTCATGACAACAACTTTGTCGTTGAGGTATGCCAGTAGGAGACGATCTTGACTATCTCGGTTTTGAATCTCAGCTTGGCTGTCTTCAATTTGTACAAAAGAATTGTGTGTATTTTCAAGTAGCGTTTCTATCAAGTTCATCGGTTCGGGGCCGTAGCTACCTCCAGCCTCGACAGCTAATGACTCTGGAATCTTTGTAGAAAGTTCAAATGAAACGATCTTGTGCGTGAATGTAGAAAACTCATTACTAAAGCAGAACGAGTATGCTCCCTTCTTTGTAGAAACGATTTCAAAGATGTCTTCACTTTGTCTCCTACGTTCATGAATAAGAGTTTCGTCAGGAGCCCGAATTATTAAGTCAACATCGTTGGAGCCACCAAATAGCACACTATATCTAAAGATAAATGCAGTTTCAGCCTTTAATTGCTCATAAAAACACATTTTTTCATTATCAGGAAGTTCAAATGTCAGGGCTTTGGGATATGAATAAACAGAGTAAAAATTCACAAATACGAGGACTAGGGGGAATAGCATGACGACCGTGACCGTATAACGCGCGATAAAGAATAGTCTTGCGAACATATATAATTGCTATATTAATATTAAGGCATACCATTAAATTCATTGTATATAAAAAAATTAGTGAGACATTTATTTGGTCTTATGTATGCCGATCTCTACGGTGGGTCCGTTTCGTCCTATTCTTAGGTCCTTCCACCATGTGCATAAATGCCTATATGACGGGGCGTATAATGTAAGCTTAATAACTTGCAGGGTATTAGATAGAGCACTGGAGCCATTAAAGTCAAACCAGTTGTAATGAGCTTCGGCTGGCTCCGTGCTTTCGCAGTGGCCCTGCCTTTCATCGGAGCCGGTGCCTCAATTAGCAAACAGGGGGCAGTGTTTTTGGAAAAATATGACATATTTGTTCCCGATGATGAGGATTAGCTGCAACTATGAATCCGAAAGACCATTGAAATTTTTATAGTTTTATTAAAGCCTAGATAAAATCGATTCTTCCAGGTAGACTTCCTCCGGGCAAAATCGTTTTCTACTAGATATCCGTGACATGTTCATGAATTATTAATTCAAAGTTATTATGTAATAATCACATTAATTTAAGGCCACAATTGTTTTATACTTATTCCTTATTAAAGTATGCAATGATGATTACCTTACCAGGTTAGCGGTGATACGTACTTACCCTATGCGAATTTTTTGACATTTGTATATAATTTAAGTATGCATGGTGCGTCCTTATCTATCTCTGTTTTGATTTTTTGGCTTTTATGCAGATGCGATATCTTGTAAAGTTGTTTTGCCCCACATGCTATTTTCATGCAAGCTCTTATGATTACTGTATGGTCAGCTCTAATATCGGTTCAGAGGCTATCCATATCTTTATCGCACGTATCCTTTTCTGCATCCGTGTAGTCTTACTAAGAAAAATGTATCTGAATTGATAACAACTTACAATGGTAAGCTTGGAATAGCTCGTTTTTAGATTTTCATCGCTTGTCCATATTGAGGTAACTTACAAGTTGTGCTTTGTATTTTCGCTCTTACCTAAAATTCTATTGTCCTGTGTTCTTTTCTAGCATCTGAACTGTACGAGTAAACACGAAATTTACCTATGAGTCACCAATTTTGGCAAATACTTACATAGCTCAATTTGAGGAACGCTTAATTCAGGGGCACCTTTAGTTCATAAATTATTAGTTCGTTGTGTGGACGACTACTTTGCTGTTTGACAACATGGCAAAGAAAATCTGGACAATTTTCTGATGAACAGGATAGATGTGAAGACTAAATTCACTATCGAGTTGGAAAAGGAAGGTGGCTTGCTTCCTCTTGATATCCTAGCAAGGAGGGGGCCAGATTATGTTGGGATGTGTATATGAAACTCACAAGTGCAGGTTTCCTTTAAATTTCTTTTCCATCTACTCTTATGGGGCTGGTGTATGAGTTATTGGGTCTGTGGTAATAAGGTACTTGCGTCTGGCAGATGTTAACCATCGGGACCAGGAATTGGGAAGTCTAAGGAGAATTCTCGTTTATAATAATTATCCACGAGGACTGGTTGACAATGATTTTAGAATATTGCCAAATAGTATGAAGGGAAATTCATATTTTTACTGGATAAAAAGTTAGATCACTCCACTAGAGTCCTTATGTTGTCATCATGTAATTTGTCAGATAAGATAGGCGAATTACTGAAGAAGTGGGGCAGGACTATTTATAAGGAGAAAATAGCACTTCTTGACATTGCCTTCTCGTCGAGACTACCCTGGCTCTCTCCGTACCAGGGTGTTAAAAGTTTTTGTTTCAATTCAGTAGCGCTTATGAGAGACCTCTATGCCCATATGTAAGAGTTTATCTGAACACAAAACAGCCTGCAAGGGCTTGTAGATACAAAAATCGAAATTGGCTGAACACATGGCTTTCACAGGACACCAGATAGGCTTGTCTGCTGCCAAACGTTTAGATTGGTGCCGGGACTATGCCAGTAAGCTAAAGATTAAGGAGGCGATATAAATTAACAAAACAGCCAGCACCCTGAATGGAAGGAGTTAGTGTAGAAAGTCAAGTGGGAACTACTTGAGGCTGTTGAATAGGATTGGAGAGGAAGGAGCGAAAAATTCCATCGAGCATATAGAGGCTTAATTGAGCTCGAATCTGGTTCTGACTTTAAAATCACACTAATTTCAAAAGCAATGCATTCGCATAGCACTTATGCAATGGAACGCAATCACATGCGGTAACATTGCAGGATCATGAATACAAATCTTTTATGGGTGGATGCAACTTCTCGTGTCACAATTGCATCCGTTTCATGCCACTTAACTTTTGTGCAAGCATCTATGCGAAGCGCAGGGCATCCAACCAAAACATGAGATGCCGGAGAGGACCAAATTGGAATATAAAGGGGTAGGTTTGAAACCGGCTACCTTCCTAGCCTTCGTGTTTTTGTTAAATTGTCGTTGCGCATGGTGTCCTGCTCTGTCGATGTCTGCCATATGAACAACAGCCCAGCAAGGATTCATCAGAGTCGCAAGGCATTGTGGGGAGGACCTATTCACTCAAATCTACAATCACAGCTCCAAGGCGATCACCATACTGCTTCCGGTGAGATCAACTTTCGAATCCCTTCCACTTGCCTTTTCAAACGAATTGAAAGGTACTCCAACATTTGATACATTTTTGTTTTATTAGGCAGAAAAATCTCATCACCAGTTCAGACAATCGTGAGTAGGGCGTTTTGCTATTCAGACTGTAACGTATTCAGAGTATAGTCCTGGTTGATATAGCCGCCTTTGTATGGCAAAAGTATCAAAAATACCCATAGGTCCTTTTCTTGCAAGCTATTTAGTTGGATTGCTTTAATACCATTGGGACTATTTAATGTCTTGAATGAGGTTCTCGAGATATGGCCGGAATTCATCTTATTTGCGTCGTAGGCAGGCTCATTGCTTGACCATGTAGGTGCTCGTGCTAGCCGTCATCCGTCTCGGGTGTCTTCATTGCTCGGCTTCATTGCTTTTTTTGGTGTTATTGGCGTTGTGTCTGTCGTCCTTGCTGTTTCCTCTTTGGTGTCGTCTCTAATGTTTCATCTTTTTTCATCTGCTTCCTGGTCTCATTGTATTATCATAGCTGTCTTGGTGATTTCTTCTTAGATGCCGTGGTCGTCACCGTCGTAACCTCGAAGGTTTCGTTATTGTTCGTGTCCTCGAACGGGTTCATGTCATTTTCCTTTCAGATGTCATCATTACCTTTCTCGGAGTTTTCGTCTTCGTTATGTCCTCAGATGTGTCTTTAT